GGAGAAAAATCCCTGTGACCCTGGACCTAGTGATGAATTTTTAGATACAACAAAGTATATTATTCCATGGCGGGGATGAATATTATTAAAAATAAAATCTTTTGCTCTGCAAAACACATTTCTAAGAAAATGAAAGGACAAGGCAGAGACTGGGAAAAGACATTTGCAATACATGTATCTAATAAAGGATTTACATCCAAAAAAATACAAAAAACCATTTTTTAAAAAAATTTTATTCAAAGACAGCAAGAGGGAGAAGCAGGTTCCCTCAGGGAGCCCGATATGGAACTCAGTCCCAGGCCCCCAGGATCATGCCCTGAGCCAAAGGCAGATGCTCAACTGCTGAGCCACCCAGGGCCCCACAAAAGAACTCTTAAAAGCTATTGAAAAAAAAAGCTGAAAATTGGGCAAGAGATCTGAACAGGTCACCAAAGATATAAGGATATGGACATGAACAGATGCTCAACATCACCTGTTAGTGGGAAAAATGCAAATTAAAACAAAAATGAGACAACATATTTATTAGAATAGTTAAATCTAAAATAATGATAATTTCAGTTCCAGAATCAGAACAAGGATTCTGATTTGTAGTTGGTAGGAATGCAAACTGATACTGGACTTTTGTAAAAATAGTTTGGAGGTTTCTTGCAAAGCTAAACATACATACATACATAACTGACCCAGCAATTTCATACCCTATGTGCCTGAAAACTTACATCTGCTTAAAAACCTACACATGAAAATCTCTGCCCCTTAATTCATAATGACCCCAACCTGGAAGAATAAAGAGTCCATGAGTTAACAACTCTGAAATCATGTGCATGTATGCTGGAATTGAACAATCAAATAAATGAAATCCAGGTGATGTTAGGCAGATTCTCAATGTTAGAGCATGAGATTACACACAAGCAAGGAGAGGAGGTTAGAATGTTCCATGTGGTAATGATTACAACAAGAGATAAGAGATAAGAGTATAAACTAATACTTAGCTTAATATATAGATGGTTAATATAAGTATATACATGATTGAGTATATGCATATATTTCCTTGTTCAGTTAGCTGAGAGGGCCTGCAAGCAATGACACACCAGGAGCAAAAGACACACCTAGTCCCCTAATCTTGGTTTCAACACTATGCTCCAATGAAAAGAACCAGAACAGGAGCCCGGGTGGCTCAGCGGTTTAGCGCTGCCTTCAACCCAGGGCATGATCCTGGAGACCCAGGATCGAGTCCCACGTCGGGTTCCCAGCATGGAGCCTGCTTCTCCTTCTGCTTGTGTCTCTGCCTCTCTCTCTGTCATGAATAAATAAATAAATAAATAATCTTAAAAAAAAAAAAAAGAACCAGAGCTATTTAGGAGAAAAAAAAAGAAGCCTAATTCTAGAGCAAGAAATACATAAGATGAATCTGGAAAATCTACTAGTAGGAAGTAAGAAATATTCAAAAAATAATGGCAGATGTCAAGACAGAAACCAACAAAAAATGCTTTTTAAAAAAAATTTATTGATTTAGAGAGAGAGAGAGAGAGAGAGAGAGAGCGAGCACACACATGAGCAGGGGGAGGAGCAGAGGGAGAAACGGAGAGAATCTCAAGCAGCCTCTACCCTCAGCAAAGAGCCTGACATGGGGCCCAATCTCAGGACCCTGAGATCATGACCTGAGTTGAAATAAAGAGTCAGATGCTCAGCCGACTGAGCCACCGAGGTGCCCCTAGAAGATGCTTTTAATAACCAACCTGAGCAACAAATGAACAAGGTAGCATTGTACCATAACCAAATGTAAAATGTAAAATAACTAGCCATGAATTCATATTGATATAAATAAATGAATTAGTAAGTAGAAGAGAACAGAAAAATCTCCTAAACAGAATTCCTGATAATTTATGTAGCTACTCCAGCATGAAGGAGGTAGAGTTTAAGTTCTCACTTCCTTCCCAAGAGTACAGTATGAAAACAGACAAAATTGGGACGCCTGGGTGGCTCAGCGGTTGACTATCTGCCTTCGGCTCAGGGCATGATCCCGGGATCCAGGATCAAGTCCCACATTGGGCTTCTTGCAGGGAGCCTGCTTCTCCCTTTGCCTATGTCTCTGCCTCCCTCTCTTTCTCTGTGTCTCTCATGAATAAATAAATAAATAAATAAATCTTTAAAAACACACACACACAAAAAGAACAGACAAAACAAAGAGTAGCTTTACTGCTACTTGTGACCACATTACTTCAGCCAAGTGATCAACAGTAATACATCACTGTAATGAATCATGTTGAAAGCACTCACCCTTGATATGATGTGACCAAATGACATTATATCTCTGTGTTCTTCCTCCAAGAAACCCATAACCTCAGTCGAATTACAAAAACAGCAGCAGACAATTCCCAATTGAGGGACATTCTACAAAACACCTGAATATACTCCTCAAAACTGCCAACGTTATCATAAACAAGAAAAGTCTGAACTGTCATAGCCAAGGGGAGCCTAAGGAAACGACTAAGTGACATGTGGTATCCTGGAACAGAATACCTGCAAGGGGGGGAGGGGGAAGGAGGGGTGGACACACAGATCAATTATCAAAAGACAAATTATATACCATAATAGTTTGCAACCATATAATAGGCAAGTATTAGTATCCCTAATATATAAAGAGCTAAATAAGAAGAGGAAGAGGAGGAGGAGGAAGAAGGAGGGAGGAGGGAAAGGAGGACGAAGAAAGAAGAAAGAAAAGGAGGAAGAAGAGGAGGAGGAGGAGGAGGAGCCGCCGCCAGAAACCCAAGGGCAAAATGGGCAAAAGATATGAACAAATGGTTCACAGAAACGTAAATACATCTTTCAGATATGTGAAAAAATATTCAACCTCACTCATAGTTTAGAAAATTACAGATACGAACTTGATAAAATACCACTTTTTATCTATCAGTTGCCAAAGTTCCAAAAGTTGAACCACGTATCCTATGGGAGACTCAGCTGTGGACACACACTCATGCAGTATCAATGGGAATATAAAATGATACCATAATCCCAACTGATCACATTTATCAATTGTATTCACCCTTTGGCCTGGCATCACACTTCTGGGAATTTATCTGACAAGTAACTCTTATATGTACAAGATCATTCGTTAGAATGTGGTTTGTAGTAGCAAAATGTTTGAAATAGTTCAGAACTAATAATAACCAGTTTAAAAAACTATGGAACATCCATGCTTGAATTACTATGCAGTTATAAGAAAGAAAGAAGCAATCCACATTCTGTTTACAGAAAGATGCCTGGGACAGGCTGAAAAAAGTGAATAAAAGCAAAGAAAGAATGGAAGATAGGGTATAGACTTGCTACTCAAAGTGTGGTTCCCTGGGCAGCAGAGTCAGCTTCACCTGGGAGGTTTTTAGAACTGTAAAACCCAGGGTCCCGCAGATCCACTAAATCAAAATCTGCATTTAACAGGATACCAGTGATGTACGGGAGCACCTAAGTTTGAACAGGGATGATGGGTTCCCTTCTAAATAAAAGTAGAAGGCATATAAGGATACATTTTAACTGAATAAAGAAACACTGGGAGGACAAACAAGAAAGGCTGACATCTACAGGAAGGTGACCATCCACTCAGGTTTGTCAGGGACTGTCCCAATATATGCCAGCTGTCTCATCAGAACTGTAGAGAACCTCTTTCATTCTCAGTGAAAATGTCTCAGTGTAGATGAGAAATAAATGTCACCCTTCCTGGAGAGAATGTCACTTAATCTTTAACCATGTTAACATATTACTAATTCAGAAGGATTTTATTTTAAAGATTTTATTTATTCATTCATGAGAGACTCACAGAGAGAGAGAGAGAAAGGCAGAGACACAAGCAGAGGGAGAAGCAGGCTCCCCATGAGGAGCCCGATGCAGGCCTTGATCCTGGGACTCCAGAATCATGACCTGAGCCGAAGGCAGACGCTCAACCACTGAAGCACCCAGGTGCTCCCAGAAGTATTTTATTAAAAAAAAAAAAAAAAAAAAAAAAAAAAAGGAGAGAGAGAGACAAAGCCAATCAGGAAAAAAAGACAGACTGGAAAAAAAAAAAAAAAAAAAAAGCAGTGAGCCAAGGATGGATCAGCAATAAACCCAAGGAGAGGCAAAGTCTGGGGCAAAAGGGAAAGACACCATTGTGAGGAACAGAAAGCTAGGAGAGCTAGGAAGGGGGTGTCAGAGACAACAGAGACCGAGGATTATGCCTCAGGACAGTTAAGTAAGACAAAAACAAAAATTGGATTTGATGACAAGTTGGTGGCCTTTTCTAGAACTGATTCAGGTGAGCGGTGGTGGTGAAGGAGCAAGAATGTGTTCCCATGGTTGAAATGTAAAAGACAAATGCAGAGACCAGGAACACCTGGGTGGCTCAGTGGTTGAGCCTTCTGCTTCAGGGCGTGATCCCAGGGTCCCAGGATTGAGTCCCACAGTGGGATCCCTGCAGGGAGCCTCTTCCTATGTCTGCCTTTCTCCATATCTCTAATGAAAATAAATAAAATCTTAAAAGAAAGAAGAAAGAAACACAGTGATCAAAGCCAGAACTCTGCCACTCAAGCTAGGACTACAAAGAAGCTGACACAAATACTATGGAGAGTTACTTGGAAGACGTGCAGTCCCCACCATTCTGCCAGATCTTCAAAGTTTTATTCTTGGATCAAACAGGACCATGAGAGAGCTGTCTACTCAAATCTCACTGTTTGGTCCCCTGAAAAGCATCCACATGTCTTTGCATGCTGCTGTGTCTATCAGAAATGATCACAGGCAATTTTGTTATTAAAAAGATCAGAGAAAATTTTACAACTTGCACAACTCTGTAAATTTAAGAGTCCTGCATTTAATTCTGCCAGATGCTCTTTGAATTTGCTACTCTCAACATTTTTCCCTTAAAGTAATTCTTGCCTATTTCTTCTTTTTCTTTTTAAAAACATGAATCCATCCAAACTTTAGAAAACCCATCTTAAAGCAAAGCAGGAATAAACAAACAAAAAGCTTACCTGAGATCTGTTCATTTTCCACTCTTAGTGGAGGAGGGAGAGCTGAGGAAGAAGGAAGGAAGAAGGAAGTTAGGAGACACTTGGCCTGCCTTGCCGTTCCTGGATTTACCTGCCTTCACAGCATCACATACAAGATACTTACGTGTCCATGTGTGGCTCCGATATATGTTGAGCTTAGACATGATACTTTTCACTGAGTGAATGTAAACATTTGTTTCTTATTGATTTATTACCAATTTAGGTTCTGTGACACAGAAAAATTAAAAACATGAGAAGATGAGTTTAACATTTTACAGTAACCTAAAAGGAGGAAACACTATGGATTTGTCAGAACTGATGTGGTAGGGAAAAAAATCAAAAAACCCAAGCCACATTGTTAATCTGTTTTCCTTCTAATACCATTAATCCCTTGAAGTCAGATAATCGAAGAAACCTCTGGAAAAAAAAAAAAAAGAGAGAGAGAGAGAGAGATGGGAGTGTTCAAGGCAAGATAAAAAATTGTTCTAACTTGCTTACAACTTAGTAAGAAACTATCTTTGAGGGGCACCTGGGAGGCTCAGGCTGTGATCCCAGGGTCCTGGGATGGAGTCCCACAACCGGTTCCCCGCGGGGAGCCTGCTTCTCCCTCTGCCTATGTTTCTGTGTCTCTCGTGAATAAGTAAATAAAATGCTAAGAAAAGAAAAGAAAAGAAAAGAAAAGAAAAGAAAAGAAAAGAAAAGAAAAGAAACGAAACGAAACTATCTTTGACTTAACAGTGACAAGATGGGCAGTGGCCTGGGCATCTGCAGACTTGACCTCTAACCATGGTTCTGCCACTAACAAACTGCACCGTCTCACTTTGTCAGCTTCTCAAACTCAACTGTTTCCCCCCATTTTTCAATTAAGGTCAGAACAGATAACCTCAAAAAAGACTTGCGTCAGGCCAGGAGAGCGGGAACCTCAGCATCTTTCTAGATGCCAGCAACAACAGGGCGCTGTTTGAGGGCAGTTTGCTTCTGGAAACAGTGAACGGAAAACGAGGGGAGGAGGGGGTGTTCCCAGAGGGGTGATGACGGAGCTTCCCTGGCTCCGGCTGGCAAGCCTTTCATTCCCGACCATGCCCTCACAAACTCTCCAAAGAGGGGACATCCCCTGTGTGGCCTGTCCGTCCACCCGTCTCAGCTCCAGCTCACCTCGCTCTTCTTAAATTTGTCCCAGACCTTCCACCGTCACTCAGCCTTCGATGGCTTCAGGATACTGTCATGCTTATACGTAACAAATAACGAATGAACGAACACACAGTACATAGTAACTGGGGGCTTGGGGAAGGTCAGAGCCAGGAAAGGGCGCGGTGACTGCCTGGTCCGGCCTCTTCCCTCTTCCACTGCACCAACGAGGTAATTGAGAAGCGAGGGCCCTGGAGACTGGGAGCTCCAGCCTCAGGAATCACGGAAGTAACAGATAAATACAATAGCAGCTAACAAGACGTGAGTGCTCAGAGCGACGCCGCGCGGCAGGGACGACTGACGTCCACGCTTCACCGATGAGGAGACCGGGTCTGACGTCGCCTACTCGGCCAGAGCAGTTCACCCCAGCAGACGCCCCGCCTGGCTCCACGGCGGCCCGCAAGCGCACCGCCCCGCGGAAGCAAGCCCGGCTCACCCGCGACGCGCGCGCACACGTCACAACGTCAGGCGCGCACGCATGTCGTGCGCGCGCACTCACGCCGCCCCGCGGCCCCACCCCCTCTCCGTGGGCCCAGCGCGCACACGTCACACACGCGCCCTCTCCACCCGCGGCCACACGACGAAGCAGCCCGCTTCTCGCTGGGGCGGGCCTCCCGCGGGCCCTGCGAGCCCGAGCGCCCACGTTCCCACGCGGGACTCCGGCCTTTTAGTCAGAGACGGCCCCGCCCGCCGTCCCCTCAACTCCGCAGGCGCCGCGGACGCCTGGGGTCCCTCCGGGCTCCGCGGGGCTCCCAGCACCACCCGGCACCGCCGCCCCCGTCGGGCCCCCGAGCCACGCGGGGCCCCTCGCAGCCCACGCCCCCGCCCACCCCCCTGGGCCTCACCCGCAGCTCCCTCGCCGCGTGGACCCGGAAGCCAGGGAGGGTTTCCCACGCGGGGCTGGAGGCCGGGGAGAGGCGAGCCGGCAGGAGAAGGCGGGGATGCACATGCGCAGAGGGACGGGAGCGGCGCGGCGGCGGGTGGCGGTGTCGGCTCCCGGCCGCTGGCGCGGGGGCCGCGCCCGTGCCCCAGAAGGGATGCCTGCTCCGAAGCCGAAGGGCTCCAGCCCCTAGGAGGACCTGGCTGGCGGGACGTCAGTGCGGGGCAGGGGCGTGGGGGACGTTCGGCGCGCTCCGCAGGCTTCTCTTCCCCGGTGTATTGCGTGCCCATCTTGGGAAGCGGGCTGGAGAGTTTCTGCCAACTTGGCTGCGCCGAGGGGGTGACCGCGGGGCTCAGTCCCGCTTCCGGAGCCGGGATTCCGTCCCTGCCCCCAGCCGCGCGCCGCGTGCACCAGCTAGGAGCGGGGAGCTGCGCGCGAGGTCACGGGCGTCCGCGGTCAGCTTGCGGCTCCCGAGCGACGGACGCCACGCGCTAACCCCGAGTCTTGGGTGAGAGGCTGTCGGACCCAGAGCTGGGGAGAGCGCGCGCCCCTCCACCACCTCCCGTACGGGGCCCACACGGGCTTCCCCCGAGAGTTCCCCGGGGTTGACGTTTTAGACGACTGTGGCACTTCGGCCCACCAGTAAGGTGACAGGCTTCATTCACACTCCGTCAGTTTTCCCGCCGATGCCCTTTTACCGACCCAGGGGTCCAATCCAGGAACCACAGTACCTTGAATCATTATATCTGCTCCAATCTCTAAGAGGGTATGTGTGTGTGTGTGGGTTTTTTTTTTTTTTTTTTTTTTTTGGCCTTTCCTATCTTTCATGACCTTCCCATGGTTGAGGAAGAGTAGTTAGGTATAGTGACGAACATCCTTAAATGAACGTTTGTCTGACGTTTTCTCCTTATTGGACTATTGGACTGAGGTCATGAATTTTGAGGAAGTAAATCCCAGAGAGCGTGTGCTATAGATCAGGTGACAAGATATCAACTCTAGCCACTTGGTTAAGGTGGTGTCTGACAGGTTTCTCCACTATATAGTTAGGATTTTTCCCTTTCCGGTCTACACTTAAAAGTGGGTTGCTAAGTCTCATGCACACTCCAAGACACAGGCAATAAACTCCATCTGGAATTTGTGGTCATATTTTAAAATCACTACATGTATTGGTAAATTTGAGGAGAAACTCTCTGAGGCTACCCAAGAATACTGTTTCTGTTTAGAGTTTTGGCCACTTATTCTATCATTCATTGCTGAATCTTGCCTGCAACTTTTGCTGTGGTGTTCTAAAGGGCTATTTTTCTATTTTACTTCAATATTTATTGGGATTCTTCTGTAAAGGAAAGATTTTCATTTCCCCCATTTATTAATTCCGTCTTTTCATGAAGAGAAATCTCACAGAGGAAGACATAGACATGGCCAACATGCACATGAGAAAATGCTCTGCATCACTTGCCATCAGGGAAATACAAATCAAAACCACAATGAGATACCACCTCACACCAGTGAGAATGGGGAAAATTAACAAGGCAGGAAACCACAAATGTTGGAGAGGATGCGGAGAAAAGGGAACCCTCTTACACTGTTGGTGGGAATGTGAACTGGTGCAGCCACTCTGGAAAACTGTGTGGAGGTTCCTCAAAGAATTAAAAATAGACCTGCCCTACGACCCAGCAATTGCACTGCTGGGGATTTACCCCAAAGATTCAGATGCAATGAAACGCCGGGACACCTGCACCCCGATGTTTCTAGCAGCAATGTCCACAACAGCCAAACTGTGGAAGGAGCCTCGGTGTCCATCGAAAGATGAATGGATAAAGAAGATGTGGTTTATGTATACAATGGAATATTCCTCAGCCATTAGAAACGACAAATACCCACCATTTGCTTCAACGTGGATGGAACTGGAGGGTATTATGCTGAGTGAAGTAAGTCAATCGGAGAAGGACAAACAGTGTATGTTCTCACTCATTTGGGGAATATGAATAATAGTGAAGGGGAATATAAGGGAAGGGAGAAGAAATGTGTGGGAGATATCAGAAAGGGACACAGAACATAAAGACTTCTAACTCTGGGAAATGAACTAGGGGTGGTGGAGGGGGAGGAGGGCGGGGGGTGGGGGTGAATGGGTGACGGGCACGGAGGGGGACACTTGACGGGACGAGCACTGGGTGTTATTCTGTATGTTGGTAAATTGAACACCAATAAAAATTAATTTATAAAAAAAAATTCCGTCTTTTATATCAGTACCGCCATTGTTAACCCCACCTTTCTCACCCAACCCTTTCATCTGTTTTATGTCTTAAGGTTTTGACTTTTTCAGAATGTCAACAGGATTATATAATAAGTATCTCCTGGGACGCCTGGGTGGCTGAGCATCTGCCTTTAGCTCAGGGCATGATCCCAGGGTCCGGGATCGAGTCCCACATTGGGCTCCTTGCAGGGAGCCTGCTTTTCCCTCAGCCTGTCTCCCTGCCTCTCTCTCTGTATACCTCTAATGAGGTTCATTCCTTTTTTATTACTGAATAGGATTCCATTTTAGATATTACATTTTATTCACCTGTTGAAGGATACTTGAGTTTTTACCTGTTTTGGTGATTATGAATAGATTTTATATATATAGTACATTATACATTTTTTCTTTAAAAAGAAAAAAGTATTTCCTGAGTTTGGCTATTTTCACTTAGCAAAATTCATTTAAGATTCATCCCTATTGTTGCTCCTTTTCACAAATCAGCTCCTTTCTCCTCCCTCTTTTCATTTCATCTGATACTATTGTGTTATGTTGCTCATGTTGTTCCAGTTTGGGCATTAAAAGCTATCTCACAGGTTGGCCTCTCGGTCCTTTCTCCAAATTCTTATAATTGTTTCTTTTTTTTTTAAGATTTTATTATTTATTCATGAGAGACGCAGAGAGAGAGGCAGAGACAGAGGCAGAGAAGCAGGCTCCATGCACGGAGCCCAATGTGGGACTCCATCCCGGAACCTGGAATCATGCCCTGAGCCAAAGGCAGACGCTCAACCACTGAGCCACCCAGGTGTCCCTCTTATAATTGTTTCTCAAGTACTTCTTACTTTTTGACACACAGGATGCTTCAGGCTCCTTGTATTTTCTGTGCCCCAGCCCCAGGATCAGGCATTTTTTTCAGAGTCCTGATTCCTTTTAATTGGAGAAATCAAAATCTGAGCTCTAGGTGTGCTGATTGGTCCTGGGTGAAACTTTCTAGACCCTCTCAGCTGACCCCAGCTAAGAAATATATGTATGTGTACCAATCCGTGCTAGTCATCTGCATCACACTATCCATATTTCTATACCTATCTGTATACACACACAGGACTACATATATGAAAATTAGTGAGCTAACACTAAAATATTTTAGTTTAACCCAAGGTTCATTCTAGCCTTCCCACCCACCCCTTGCTTATTTTTAACTTCATAGACACCAAGATACCTGGTTACCATTATCTACAATATATATATTCTTCTTGCCCTTGCATACACATAGTTTCAGAATTGCTAACTCCTGGAGAATTTACCAACTAGAGTGTTTATGTGCAGTTCTGTTTGTTTTCAGTCTCAACACATCCAAAGTATTGTTTTACGGAATTATTTAGGTTAGCTCTTTTACTCCCATTTTAAAACAATTCAGATTATGTGATACATACATTTGTAAAAATTGTAAAAACAGAATGGCTTGTCACAGTCTGCATTGTATTTGTACCCTGTTTGATTGTTTTTCTTTATTTGAATAGAGTTACATTCTCTCTTCGTGGTGTACAGCTCTGAGTTTTGATGAATGCGTCCCCATGGTAGGTACCATGTGCCATGATCCTAATTACTAGGTTCCCCTCAGGTGACCTGTTCTTACTCAGCTGCCCCTTTTGCCCCAAACCCCTGGCATCCACTGATTTGTTCTCTGTCCTATAATTTAACCTTTTCAAAAATGTCAAAATAGATTGAATGATATAAAATGCAGTTTTTAGGTTTAACTTCTTTCACTTAAGCAAAAATCATTTAAGATTTTTTTTTTTTCCCTGGGATGCCTGGGTGGCTCAGTGGTTGAGCATCTGCCTTTGGCTCAAGTATTGATCCCAGGGCCCTGGGATCGAGTCCCACATCGGGCTCCTTGCATGGAGCCTGCTTCCCCCTCTGCCTATGTCTCTGCCTCTCTCTGTGTGTCTCTCATGAATAAATAAGTAAAATCTTTAAAAAAAAGATTTTTCCTATGATAGTGTGAGGCATTAGTTCACTCCTTCATTCCTTTTTTATTACTGAATAGTATTCTATTTTAAATATTACAGTTTATTCACCTGTTGAAGGATACTTGAGTTTTTACCTGTTTTGGTGATTATGAATAGATATACATTATATATATATATAAAATTATACTATATATTATACATTCTGTTGAGGATTTTGTGTTGACTTAGTTTTCATTTCACTTGAGTAAATACACAGGAGTAGGATTTATGGTAATTTATGGTAAGTATATGTTTAAATTTATAAGAAACTTTAAAACTGTTTTCCAAAATGTTTATATATTTTTGCATTCCCATCAGCAATGAATAAGAGGTTTGTGTGTGTGTGTGTGAGTGTGTAAGATTTATTTATTTCAGAGAAATCATGAGCACAAGCAGTGGGGAGAGGCCGAGGGAGAAGCAGCTTTTCTGCTGACCAGGGAGCCCAACAACACAGAGCGGTATCCCAGGACTCTGGGATCACTACCTGAGCCACCCAGGTGCTCTAGTGAATGAGAATTCTTATTTCTCAAAATCCACAGCGGCATTTTGTATGTTTAATGTTTGTTTTTTGTTTTGTTTTGTTTTTCTATTCTAATAGGCGTGTAATAGCCTTATGGCAGTTTAAATCTGCATTTCCTTATAAACTGATGTTGTACTTGTTTTTCACATGCTTATGTGCT